GTGGTGTTGGTTGGCCTCCGCCTGCTCCACAGCTGTGTACCCTCTACAGACAGAGGGTGGCTGGAAGGAAGGCTATACACAGTGGAGCTACAAAGAAGTTGAAGTTGCAAAAGTCTGAGATTGAAAAGCACATTTTTTGTTTGTGTGTTTTTGTGTGTTATATACCTGTGTACATGCTGATGTTGGTATGAGCACACCCATGTGGAGGCCAGAGGTGGATCTCAATTATCTCCCTCAATTACTCTCCACCTTCCTTTTTGAGACAGGGTCTCTCATTGAACCCAGAGCTCTCCAATTCATCAGTCTGGCTAAACAGTGAGCTCCAGGAATCCACTGGTCTCTATTTCCCCAGGACTGGGATTATGGACATGCCCCACCATGCTCAGCTTTTATATGGGTGCTGGAGAGCCAAGGTCAGGCCCTTAGCTTGGGTGGCAGACACTTTACTGACTGAGCCATATCCAAAGCCCTGGCTTCTGCTTTTAATGCTAATTTAACCTAGTGCCAATTTCGTGCCACCCCTACCAGCTTAGGCCATTGGACCTTCATAGGGAGATTTCACCAGCCCTCCAAGTATCACAGCACACTTAGCCTTGGCCTGCATCCCTCCTCTGTTCACATGTCTCTCCTGCTGTCTGTTAATCTTCTCCAGTCTTTTACATAGACCTTGAATGATATATCCCTTCACAGTCCCTTCAATGATTGCTTCATTCCATGGACTCCAACTGCTGGTTGAACATATGAGACCAAGAGCCTCCAGTGTCTTATTACCAGCATCAATGATCATCTCTGTCTAGAAACTGACCTGGGTGCTAGAGATATAAATATGACAAAGACTAGGTGACTCTACCAGAGTGCTAGTGATATACACAGTCAGACAAGTTAAACTTATAAGTAAGTTACAATATTAATAATGTTAAAATCAAAGGTAGTGTTTTTTCTATACATAGCCGTGTTACATGGAAAATTATTACCCAGAAAGTTTTTAACATAGTGTCTTTTCATGTAGTAGAGACTGTCTTGGAACGTTTTAAGTAGCTCAGGGTGGCACTGAACTCCCAATTCCCCTGCCTATGCACCCCCAAAACTTTGAAATTACAGGTCTATGCTACCAACCTCCAGGTGGCATCTGAACACCTTATAGGATATAACTAAAATGCCCAAATCTCTGCCTGGGCTTGGTAGAGTTCTGGCCATCACCAAGAAAAAAAGGAATCCTTGCCCACCATCTCGAAATCTGACACAGTCATGAAATCAACCTGATGGTATTTTCTGGGGAAAGCTAGTGGTACCAAAGGAAAACCATCAAGCATGAACTTATCAAGTTCTTATTAAAGTGGAAGTCAAAAAATATGGTATGTCTTCCTTTAAGACCAACTTGAAATACTGCATTGTGTACCATGGATGTAAGTGCCTAGATACACCACTGTTCAGACACACCAAGATACACATGCGATATCTGCACCTTGGAACTCTTTGAAGCTCCACATGGCATTGCTAACCATTACTATCTCCTAATATATTCCTAACCGTGGCTCAGGGCAGATGCAGCTACGTGCCTATTACCTACCAGTCTACTCCTTGTAGCCTTCTCTAGCAGCACCATGATTTTACTTGGCGATTTTCCTTCTTCCACAATGCCACTTGGTTAAGTTGCCAAGCAAGATGGTCCCATTTTCTTTGTCACTGGCTGGTTTAGAAAGGATTCCAGAGAGCTTGCTTCTATGTGCTCTCATTGCTATGGGAGGACACAGCAAGAAAGGGAACCACCTGCAAGCAAGAAGCAGAGGCTCCCCAGGGATTTTACTGGCCTTTGTGGGTCTACAGAATCACAGGCATTGTTACTGGTCATTGTTTACTCTGCTGTACCTTTTCTAACAGCTGGAGCTCTAAGGCATTCTTACTTGTAGTCGCTTACTCAGTAACTCTAGAGATTTATTGTATTTTTGCCGCGCGTGCGTGTGTGCGTGTGTGCGTGTGTGCTGGGGGTGCCACAAAGGCCAAAGAGGACATCAGAGCCCCCGGAGCTGGAGTTAGAAACTGTTGTGAGCTGCCCATCACGTGTGCTGAAAACCAAACTCCAGTCCTCTGCAAGAGCAGCAAGTGCCCTTGACTGCTGAGCCGTCTTTCTAGCTCCTTACCTGATAATTCTAAGAAACACTAACCAATATCCATCCCAGGCAACTGCTGATACCCTTCTCTATGTCAAGATATCAAGGGAAAAAATGATACCCACAAACCCAAGGTGAGTACAGTCCCAGGGTAGACCCTTCCAGGCCACCAAGATCAGCTTCAACTGTTGGTAGAAAGGTCTAGTCTTTCATTTCCTTTTTTAAGCTTTCCAGGCAAGCTGGGAGAGTCAGGAGCTCTAAGGAGGATTGTAACCAGGAATTTATGGAGCTAGGCTGAATAACACAGGGTCCTTGTAACTTAACTGTCTGTTTACGCAGGACTGTGCCTAATTGTATGTGTGTGGTTTTATGAGGGGACTGATTTCATAACTTGTGGAGGCCCGCAGAGGCTTCCTACTACTTACTCAAGGTCAGAGAATCTGAGCTTGCTTTACCCAGCAGGGCTGCATAATGGGATGATTTGGCCACCGGTGTGGTTACCAGGTGTCTTGAAGGGTCTACACTTGGTTGTACATTGTGCTTTGATCTTGAAAGGGGGAGGTCTTCTGCCTTGCCCCTTGGCATTGCATAAAAAGCCCTTTGGAATAATAAATCTCGAGGCAACTGGGTATTGACCCAAGCTCCCTCTGCCCAGCTATCCCATGTCTCTGTCTTTATTATTGTCTTTCTATTATTTACTCGTTCCTCTCTTCTCCCCGCAAGAACCCTTCAACAGGTTGGAGCTGGACTCTCAGACTCTGACAACTGGTACTAGATTCTCAAAAGGGTCTATTCCTCACTCTGCCTGCCCCCCTTAAAGCAAGAAATCACTGCAGAAGATGCAGTATTAGTTACCCTTGTAGATCTGTGACCAGCACACCTGACAGACACAACTTAGAGGAAGGGATGGGTTATTTTACCTCACAGTTCACCACAGGTGGGTAGAGAGAGAGGGAGACAGAAACGAGAGAGGGCAGGATAGAGTTATCAAGACCATACCTCCAGTGAACCATATCCCCCAGCTAAGTCCCACCTCCTAGAGCTTCCAGGATTTCCTAAAAACAGCACCACCAACTGTAACCCTAGGAGTCTGTGGGGAGCATTTTCCAGTTAAACCATGACATGCCCGACATGCTTAGAAAATGAAGATATATATAAGTAAGTGTAATATCCTAGTCTTAGCACTCATGTATTTCCATAAATGAGAACCCTATGGGGTGTATCACAGTGGGTCGAGCTCCCCTGTTGCAATAGTACAAACCCACAGGGGCGTCACCCCAACCCACACTGGCCTGCACCAGTTGCCCTGTTGCACGTTGTTGCAAAAAGATCATTTGCTTCCTAGGTAACGAAGCAAAGCCAACACATGGGGAGGTGTGTTTGCAGGATTCTAGGAAAAAGGAGGCCATGTACTGCAGGAAGCTTCTCCAGCCACAGTGTTTTCCAACCTTTGGCAGGTGGGGGGAGGGGTCTGTTTAGTAGAGAACACCCCCTTCTTTGGGGCATGATCAGGAGAGGAACTTCATTTCCTAGCCATTATAGAAACTGGTCAGGCTAAACCTGATATAAAAGCCTATCACATAATAAATATTTGCAAATACAACTGCAATTAAAACCAGCTTTAGAGTAGACTTAGGCAAAACAAAACCCAATGATAAGGAACAGAATGGATGGTTCTGAAATGGCTTCAAAGGGGGCATGGGCTAGAAGACATTTCCTGGATCAAGGAGGTAAGACCTCTAACAGGAAATGAGGAATTCAAACCATGTGTTTTGATTTCCATTCATTTTTTTCCTAATTGTGATTTCTGTTGGAATTGTACTAGTATTTTCACAGTGTTTTTTAACCCACCCCCTCCAAAGCCACACTGGCACATGAGAAGAGTCTCTGTTATAAGTTAATAGGGAAATGAAAATGAAAGTCAAAATAGATTCCACCTATTAGGAGGGACATTTTATTTTTGTAGTTCATTAATTAATTGGTTGTTGTTTTGAAACGGGGTCTCTCTCCATAGCTGTGGCCATCTTGAAACTCGTTATGTAGATTACACTGGCTTTAGACTCACAGAGGTCTGCCTGCCTCTGCCTTCCAAGTGCGGGGACTAAAGTGGGGGGCCACCATGCCTGGATATGCTCTTTTTATTTTTAAAGGGGTGAACATTGATGTGAATGCCGAACATGATTGCTGGGGATGTTTCCTTAAAGTGGTCTGTTGCTGCATACACTGCTAGTGGCCTCTCAAAAGCCAGACAAAGAATTATCATATGATATAAACATCAGCTCCATTTTTAGACTCACACATTCCCCAAAACTGAAAGCAAGGGTTTGAACAATGTACACAGTTGTACATTCATGGCCATAGCAGCATTCTGCACAAAAGCCCAAGGGTGGTAGAAACTCTCAGTTGTCCCCAGAGGGGTGAGAAGATAAACTCAGGGTGGTACAGACAGTTGGGCATCAGCCCTGAAAGCAAGAAAATTCTGACATGTGCTTCAACACGGATGAACTCTGAGAACATCATAAACGAAATGAGCTGATAGCAAAAGAAACACTGCCATTTGATCCCACTTCTACGAGGCCCCAAGAGCAGTCAGGTTCACAAAGAGAGAGGGTAGAGTGGAGGTCACAAGGAGCTGAGGAGGCACGTAGCGAGCAGCTGTTGGTTAGGACAGAGTCTCAGTTTGGGATGATGAAAACATTCTGAAAATAGACAGTGGTGGAACTGCTGAAGATGAACTTAATACTCCAGAATGATAAAAATCTGTGTTATACATATTTTGCCATAGTCAAATGTAGCATGAATCTTAAAGAGTCTTGTTAATAAAAACAACACAATATCACCACAGTCAAATAAAAGGAGAGGGGAACCTTTGTGGCCGGCAATACTTACAAGATGTAGGCGATCACCCCAATGGACCAGCAGTCAACAGCTTTGCTGTATGGTTTCTGAGCAAGAACTTCAGGAGCTGTGGACAGATAAAGGAGAGTCACAATCCTGATGATTTAAATGCCTGAGACCAAAGACACTTATTTGGGCTTTTCATTTTCTGATTTTTGTTTTTCCTTGTTGGATATTCAGATTTTGAGCCACCTGTGAGTCTAGAAACTGAGCAGGGGGCTCAGGAACCCAAACTATCAGTGGTAGAATGCATGCTCAGCCTACACAAAGTCCTACGTTCAAGTTCAACCCCAAGTTCCAAAGACATTTAAATAGATAATAATAAATGACCCCATTTGTCAGCTTTTCTAAGTAAAAAAAAAAATACAAAGTGGTGTGTGTGTGTGTGTGTGTGTGTGTGTAAATAATTATCCATCAATTGATCAATAAATATTCTGTTCTAAGTATCATAGCTTAGTCAACAGTATTGTGAGAAGATAACACTCAGTTGGAGTATGGAGTATGAGTTGTACCCCCAAAGTGACTAAGGACAGCGTCCCTGGCTCCTGTGGGGTTTGGTGAGGTGCCACGGGGACAAGGGCAAATAGTCCTTCCTGGGCCTTCATGGAGTGTACGGCCCAGTGGACAGGGCAGGACTAGCCTGGAGCTCTCTCGTTTTCCCTGAGTTTGGGGTATTCGCCTACCGGCACTCTCACCTGCTCCTCTGCAGAGGAGGGGGACTGTTCCTGAATCTCCCTGCACCACTGAGCCAGGAGGCCAACAAGAGCCATTGCTTCCAGGGCTTGGGCTCGTTTTGAACCCGCCCTAATGCCCGTGTCCCTGGCCTTGTGGCCATGGCTCAGGATCAGGTCTCCACCTGGTGTCTGTGACCCACAGCGTCTGGTGCAGGGGGCACTCGATGTGGATTAAGTACACGTGAGATGATCCATCTCCCTGACAAGTGAAACCTCCTTTACCTTAAACATATCCATGCTCGAGGCCTCTTTGGTGCACGAGTTCCAGAATAATCACAAAGGTAGACAAAGGGAAAATAGAATCATTGATAAAGTCCTTGCTATGCCTAGAATTGTGTGTCCTCTGAGATTCGGGTGGCTTACTTACCCCAAAACCCTTGGGGAAGCACTGCTATCATACATTCATTATCCCCAAGTTATAGAGGAAGACACAAGGGCACTGAGAGGTTGGGCCAAGCGGTCAAAGCCATCCAGCCAGAAGCGATCTCTTCACCCACTTCTGCTCCGAAGACCCTAATCTCACCAAGTGCTGCTCTCAGCTGGGGCTTGTGCCAGCAGTTCCTAACGTTCACTGCTCTCATCATCTCAACGGACACTGAGCGAGCAATGCTCCTGAGCTCGGAGAGCAAGGGCAGGAAATGGAGCCTCGGAGAAGTGCTTTTTTCCAAGCCACAGCGAGACATGGAAAAGCAGGCCGGTCTGAGCCTCGTTCGGGATCTTTCTGTTAGACCATCCTGCTTTATTAAAGTGAGAACTTCTTCAGTCCGTAAGAAAAGTCCGGAAAATCTGCCACAGAAGTCTGTCCTTTCCTTCTCTTGAAGATAAATGACTCCCTGAGCAAGAATAGGAAGGTGGAGGCTGAAAAGGTAGCTCAGTTGGTAAAGAGCTTGTCTTGCAAGCAGGAAGGCCAGAGTACGACCCCTAGGACTCAAATAAAAAGTGTGGAAAAGCCGGGCAGTGGTGGCGCACACCTTTAATCCCAACACCCGGGAGGCAGAGCCAGGCGGAGCTCTGTAAGTTCGAGGTCAACCTGGTCTACAGAGTGAGATCCAGGACAGGCACCAAAACAACAGAGAGAAACCCTGTCTCGGAAAACAAAACAAAGCAAAACAAAAGTGTGGAAGCACACCTGTGATCCCAGTCCTGGGAAGGGAGAGGAAGGCGAATGTTTGGAGTGTGCTGGCCAGCCAGCCTAGCCTACTTGGTGAGTTCTAGGCCAGTGAGAGAGACACTGCCGCAAATAACTCAGGGAGGACAGCGGTTGAGTAATGACAGACAAAGCTGTTCTCTGACCTCTATACAAAGGTACACACGTGTGCACATACACCCACCCACATACATGCACCTGCACATACACAAATGTGCACATACATACACATAAATACCCATACGTTAAAAAGAATAGAGTACAAACTCCTGTTGAGTATCTGCCCACGAGAGAGAAATACAGCCTACGGATCGACCCAAATCTCATTTTACATTTCAGTCCTAAATTCCATCAAGTCTTTTTATCAGACTTTTTTTTTCTTAACAGAACAGAAGAAATGCATTTGCATGTCTGTCTTGTCTTTGCTATGGTTGCCCTCAATGCAGTAGCAAAAAGGTTTACAGACCAGTGAAGCAGGGTGGCCACCCTCTGGAGAAACAGCCCTTGGAGAGTTAGAAGCTAGGTGCATAAATGGGTCCTTCCTGACTCACTGCTAAGAGGACATTTCTCAGACTCCTCTGTTATGAGAAGTGACAAAGGCAGCCACTTAAGCACAGTCAATGTCCTTTTGATTTAGGAGGCTGACACTCTGGTCCGAGTGGACACATCGGCACAGATGGTGCTCAGTGACTGCACCTGCAGGAGCATTCAGGAGCCTGATGACAGGTTTATCACAGGGAGAGAAGGCACCCAGAACACCTGATGACATTCTCACAACACACACAGAGTGACCCAGATGTCAGGAGCAGAGTCAAGCTGGTGGGCAGAGGCCTGGACCACTTCAAGGATCCCAGGGCTCATTAGCAAGAAGGCCAGCCTTCCAGCCTGGTCCTACCAACCTGCCAACCCAGGTGTCCAGTGGCACAGGAGCACAGTGGAATTAGTGCCAGCCTGACAGCACAAACTCACTGTCACTGCAGCAGGTGCCCAATGTGACAGACCCAGAGAAGGAAGCTGTGCAGATCTAATGACAGCTGCTTACATAGTATATGAGCAAAGACTGGGTCCAAGCCCTGGCCTAAGATGTACAGAGACCACTGCCCTGCAAAGCCGTATCTCTCCGAGGATGAACTCAGTTCGTCTCTGTTCCCTTTTCCTCCCCCTCCTTGACTGTAGAAGGAGGGTATCTCTAAAAGAAAAAAAAACCCCATTTCCAAGTCCTCAATGCTTAGAGACAAGAACGTGCTGGTACTAGCCACACATTTCAGCTTGAGCAGGAACACCACTAACATTCTGGGCAGCTGGGGAAGGCACTGCCCAGAATTCAAAGCAAGCAGCTGGTTCATATTACTTGAAACGTTGAGGTTTGTGTGTGTGCGTGAGGCCACATCAGAGGCTAGAGGACAGCCTTGGCTCGCCTTTCTCAAGTACCATACATTTTTTTTTTGAGACAAGGCTTTCCATGGCCTGGAACTCAGGTAGTAGGCTAGGCTAGCTGGCCAGTGAGCCCCAGGGATCCACCAGGGATGCACCAGGGATCCCTGATTCCCCAGTGCTCATATTACAATCCCGTCACATTCAGTTTCTAAAACAAAACAAAAACCAAAAACCAAAAGCCATAGTTTCTGGGGATTGAACTCAGGTCCTCATGCTCACAAGCCAGGCACTTTACCGCCTGAGCCATCTCTCCAGGCCTGTGATATTCAGGTTCTTGAAGCCATGCACTTGCTACAGTCATTTTTATATTGTGGGAATCTACCTATACAATAAAGTTTGTAACATCAATCTTATGGCTAGAAAATGTTTCTGGTTTGCATTTGGAGCATGAATGTTAGGGGAACGTTCTAACTTATCAATAGGCAAATATCAGGATAAAAAGATTGTGGATGGAAATGTATGCATTCATGCCAAACTTCTGTTGCTCATTTTGATGTCTTACTGATATAAGTAATTTTTAATAAACTTGTAGGGGGCAAACCATTTACCACATGGTGAAGTTCTTAACTGCATTTGGAATCAAAGACAGGAGATGAACTAGGCCATAAAATGCAAAGTGGCTCATGACTGAGGGAAGATGAGGATTGTTGTGGGTCTGAGGCCAGCCTGAGCCACAGTGAGCTCCTGGCCAGCACAGGCTACAGAGTGAAACTTGGTTTTCAAAGCATAAAACCCTAAAACTAAAAACAAAACAAAATAACTAATACTTAAAAACATGAAGCAAAGTGCCAGGCAGTGGTGGTGCATGCCTTTAATCCCAGCACTCGGGAGGCAGAGCCAGGCAGATCTCTGTGACTTTGAGGTCAGCCTGGTCTAAGAGTGAGATCCAAGACAGGCACCAAAACTACACAGAGAAACATGCTGTCTCTAAACTCCCCCCACACACACAAAAAAAAAAGAAAGAAAGAAAAGAAAACCATGAAGTGAAATGCTTTGTAAACAGCATCCTCAGTAATTCCAAGTATTTAAAAACACTGTGACATGAGTCATATATACACCAAGAGCCTGAGTTCTGATTTCACCTGTAATGTGACTGCTGGAACCACGGGGACTAGGGAACATTCTTTGGAAAAGCTTACCCCAATGGCTTTCAATGCTTTCCTTTCATCCCACAGACATGCTTAGAAAACAAAATCTCAGGGGCAGGGATACAGCTCAGAGGTAGAACACTTGCTTAGAATGTGTGAGACCAGGCAGGAACCGGAAGGCAGGGTTATAAAGTAAAGGAAGCCGAATCCTGCTCTGGGTTTTCCTCTCGGGTTTGCTCCAACACGAATTAAAGTCTGAACTGGAGATGTCCCCCTTGTCTGAGCTTTGCCTTCACCATGGCGCTCACGGATGCAGACCTGCAGAAGCAGGTTAAGCACTTGATGGCTTCCATCAAACAAGACGCCAATGAGAGCGCAGAAGAACAGATGTGAAGGCCGAGGAAGAGTTAAATATTGAGAAAGGTTATCTTGTGCAAACCCAAAGACTTAAGATTATAGACTATTATGAGAAGAAAGAAGAGCAGATTGAACAGCCAAAGAAAATTCCAATGTCTAATCAGATGACTCAAGCAGAGCTCAAAGTCCTCAGGGGAAGATCTCACTTATCTGCTCAATAAGGCAAAGCAGCAAGGCAGCAAAAGATACAACCAGGTACCAAGTGCTGCTGGGTGGGCTGGTCCTCCACTGCTCGTACCAGCTG